TTCCGAATCAACTTTTGATGTAATCTAAATAATAATTCAACCAGGAGGGAATATCAATGATCGTTCACGAAGCATCATCAGCATCCGTGATTCATTATTCACGGCCACTCGAACAAAAGATTCGAAAGTGAGTCATTCCACTCGTATCGAATATTGCACACAACACGAGCAACAATTGGTAAATATAAAAAAACAGAGAGGCGATAACCTGCGATATGAGTCATGCGCCTGAAGGGTATTTCGCTATGGAGAGAGAAATGATCTTCAATCAAAGGGACCACTGATGACATTGAGCTATATAGATACCACTCTTTTTCACTTGTTCTACATTGAAACGCAAATGTGCATGACCACGAACTCATTTCAGTGTTGAGTGAACTACCGATGAATATGGGGAACAATCTAACCGCGCAAAGTTTGGCATTACAGATCAGCTGAATGGGAGGATCTTCAAGACCATTTCCGAAATTGCCCCTGGCTAGATGTTTGTTTCTGCTCTTAAGATCCATAAACGTGTGCTTCTGAAGTCACGGAAGTTATTCTATCATCCATGAATACATATATTAATTTTTCAATGAAACGACCTTCTAACGGCAAACTTTGGTTCAACACACATTGCGAGCAAGCTGTCGCCTCCAAAAATCTCGCCTACCGGCAGTGGCGCAAAAATCCCAGTATCGAAAATTGAACTAGGTTTGTTAATGCTCGCAACAGCTGCAAACTTAGGATAAATGAGAGCAAAGAACTTCACAGTCAGATAATTAGGGATACACTGCTTGACAATCCCAAAAGGTTCAGATCCTTCTGGTCGGTAGCTAAAGCTGTCAATCAGAATTTTACAAAATCTACAATTCCACCAAAAACACAAGCGGATGGTTCAATTGCAACAACAGCCATAGAAAAAGCAAATCTACTAGCTGAACAATTTGCGTCCCACTCCACAGATGATTTTCTGGAAAAGGCACCACCCACTATTCCCAAACTAGAATCCACAATGCCGGAAATTATAGTATTTCCAATACCAATTAGAACAGCAAAAAATAATACGCTGACATAGGCGTCGGCATATTATTTTTCAGTGGTAGTTTTTCAGTTACTTATTCTCATAATCATAGCAATTGATCACACCATGAAAAAGTTATCTCAACTGAATTTTTCCACCATGGGTGATTATGAAAAACTTCGAAATTGTAGGTAGTTGATTTCCGAGTCGAAAACTCTAAAATACAATGAAAACACAAATAATCTCACAGATAGTTTAAATATAATGCAAGGTTCTTCAACATCGCAAGGTATTAATATTAGCAGTTATTCTAATTGTACTTTTCATATTAATGTTCATAAATAATAGTAGTTTGAATTGAAGGGGTTATATTATTTCCCAAATAATAGTAGTTGTTTTAGGCGTCAGTCCATTCAACCTACTGTGTAGGTAAATTCGAGACTGGTTTGAACGTTAAAAGTTCATGTTCCGGCTACGGAGGCAGATCTTCACAGACAGCAGGAGGTTGCATACCTCAATGAGGTTCTAGAAGTGACTTCAAATGGGGGTGAATTCGACCAAGTTCAGTTCAATGCCATAAAAACCCAGGCATCGGTTTTCTTCGAAAAGATGAATGTGTCCGAACCGGATATAATAATATTAGGACAGACAATTCCGCTTTCTGCTTCGATAACGGGGTTAAAATGGACACCAATATGTCTTGGCACAATCATGTTGCTGGAATTGCAAAGGCTGGAACACTTGGAACACTGTTCCGAATCAGAAAATTCTACACACCTCAGCAACGTTTGATGCTTTATAAAGCTCAGATAAGAACCTTTTTTTGAAGTATTGTTCTCATGTATGAATCAACCACCTGCAAGACATTATTCTTAGGTGAAAATCCCGAGGCAGTAGAGCTTGGACCTGTGGTTTTTGGGCTGACTTCCAGCTACAGTGGTACTATTGAAGGATCTTCTTCTATCGCATCAAATATAGCTTCTTCTAGTTCCGGCATTGTTACAGTTTCTGGTCTTAAACCACCTGCATTTTTATTAATTCCTAGTTTCACATAATCTTGTTTGTAGCGTTCTTAATGTTTCAGTACATGTTATAACTCTGTTGAGATATCTGTTCTGGTAAATTCTTTATGCTCCTTCGGCATTTCCATTTACTAATCCATAAATAAAATGCATGTTAGCCATTTCAGCTTTAATAAAATTATTCGTGATGGAGTCACTGCCAATTGACAACTCTTGACTTTCACTTATATGACTACACTGTCAGCTGGTCTCCATAACAGGTGTTCACGATATGCAAAGTAGCTTCAATTTTTGTTTCTCGGAAAGGAAGCTAGAAATACAACAACAAGTCAGTGGTGTACTTTTTTTCCCCAATCTTGTTGGTTGTGGCACCCACCAAGACTCCACTGGACCTAATAATTTCAATCTAGTAAGGGGTAAATAAGCGCCTCATTACTTCAAATAACTGTAGCAAATTTCAACCAAATCGGGATAAGGAGATTCATGATATTTTGTAAATATCGTTTTTACAATTTCAACGCCCTGTACCTCAGAAACAAAGCAATTTCGGAAATATATTCATGAGAACTTTTTTTCTTGAAAGTAAAAATGTCATATAAAAATGACTAAGGTATAAGGTATGATCACAAAAAGGGCTATAATTCAAAAGTTGCTGGTAATCATGAATTTTTTAAAGACATTTTTCAAGAGTGATTTGGGTTATTTTTCTATTCAAATAATTGGTAACAATGGAAGTTCAAAAAAAAAGAGATATACAATTGAAACCACTACTTTTCTGTTCACGTTTGCTCTATTGTTATACTATTTACAAGCTCTTCAACTTCTACTTAACGGTATGTTAATACTTCAATACAGGGTGTAACTGAATAAGTGTAAAACATTTAAGGAGGTGATTCCTCACCGAAAAAAAGATGGGATCTTTCATATAAAGAAATTTCATTGGAGCATCCCTTGTTAAAATACAGCCCCTTAAAGGGGGTACATAAATTTTGTATAACAATTTTTTTCACAAGCACTAAAAAAATTACAATACTGAAATTGACGTTTTGTACTACCAAAAAGAAACTTAGCCAGAAATTTAATTGGTTTACCCCATGGTTGTAAGGGGTGGAAAACGCAACCCCTAAAATTTATTTCCAATGTAACTTTTTGTCTTATTATTTGTTTACCATTTGAAAATTCATTTCCGATATCCTGTTTCATTCTAAACAAAAAACGTCTTTTGTGTTTTTTGCCCAAAATAAACCAGTTCGTTGCAAAAAATTATTTTACGAACAACTACATAGATACATCGTCATTAATGCGACAATTCGAAATTAAACTATCTAGTAGGTCACTATTAGCGATAGTGACAATTAAATTGGTATGACGCTGTCAGTTTCTGAATTTTCGAAATTGAATTAATACTAATTGTGTGTTGATGTTCTGTTCTTAATTTGTTACTTTAATAATTCACTTGTTATTAAAAAGGCATACACAAATGAGGAAATGGCTGATATGCATTACGTTTAAGAACTGTCCCAGGGGAATGGGTTAGAAGCTTTTAGAAGATATGCTGAAATGTATCCTCAATGGCAGCATCCGTCACATAGAATATTTGCTCGACTTCATCAACGATTACGAAAATATGGTTCATTCGACAAAAGAACGCAGGATTGTGGTCGCCATCGAGAAGTACGAACACCACAGCTTGAGGAAGCAGTACTTAATTTGATTGAGAACAACCTACTACCAGTACTAGAAAAATTGCTTTCCAGCTAAATGTTGATCATATGACGGTATTTCGAATTTTAAAAGAACAACTCTTATATCCTTACCATCTGCACTGTTACCGCGAGACTTTCCGAACCGTCTTGAATTTTGCAATTGAATGCTAGAAATGATTAGAAGAAATTGTGACTTTCTGAAGACGATAGAATTCACAGACGAATGTAGTTTTTCTCGGGACAAGATTATTAATTTTCATAATTACCACATATGGGCTGATGAAAACCCTCACGCTATTGTCGAAACTAACCATCAAGAACAGTTTTCTCTTCCTCGATTAAATGGTGAGGCATACGTTCAATTTTCAAGAGAAGTGCATCCAGTACTGCTGGAGGAAGTTCCTTTGAGTTTCAGAAGAGATATGTTTTTTATGCATGATGGGGCTCCCGCCCATTTTAGAACGTCACCATTTAACTGAAACATATGCAAATCAATGAATAGGTCAAGGAGGACCACAGAACTGGCCCGCTCGATCCCCGGATCTCAATCCTCTAGATTTCTCTATTTGGGGTCATTTACAGCACTTGATTTATCGTACTCCTGTTCGCGATGTGGAGGACTTGAGAAACTGCATCATCGATGCGTGCAGGGTGATCAAAGAGACTCCAGGAATATTTGAGCGAATACGTGGCTCAATGCGCCGACGTCTAGACGCATGCGTAATGTCTGAAAGTAGACATATTGAACATTTACTATGATTTCTACATGTGTGTTTTGTTATTAATAAATTAGTTTTGCTCATTACGCTTTAATCGTTTAATGCAGGTACTAACTACAAAATAACAATAAATCCAGTTCGCATTCATGACGATGTATCTCCGTAGTTGTTCATAAAATAATGTTTTGCTACGAACTGGTTTATTTTGGGCAAAAAACCCAAAAGATATTTTTTGTTTAGAATGAAACAGGCTATCGGAAATAAATTTTTAAATGGTAAACAAATAATAAGACAATGGGGAATCACCTCTTTAAATGTTTTACACTTATTCAGTTACACCCTGTATAATTTGAATCGAATAGTTTATAATCTGATTGGATAACAATCATCACTGCAACTTACGTTAGAGGAAGACTTTAAAATTATTTTAAAGTGGTCATCTAACTCTCTAAAGCTCAAGGAATACATAAGAAATTTCCTAGTTTTGAATTCATTCGAAATAATTATTCCTTTTTATGCAAAAACAAAATGAAAAAGTAACATTTCCTACCTGCATCAGAAGCAGTCCGACGATGAAACCGGTACCCTGGCAATATCCAACTTCTCTGTCGTGCAAAGAATACGCTTTGATCACATTAAACAGGGATTCTTGCCCGAGGCCATCTTTCTCTTTGAAGAATTCGTGTTCTGGATACGTCCTGGCGATATCCCTCCTGATTACTTTCTCACACGGGGACTTTGTCTGCAATGCACCAAAAAAAATTTCGATCAGTGCTGACACTGGAGGAAAACGGTTTTTTGGGACAGTATTCCTCTAGATACGATAGAAATTGATCAGGTGCCATTATTTTCAGAACCAAAATCCACTTTCTTTCAAAGGCGTCGAAAAACTTGTAGTCATATACCGGTGACACTTACTTTAATGTATTCCGCATATAATTTCTTCTCCGGCGCCTCGTTTGCTCCGCACAGTAGCTGCCAAACTATAGCTCTGAAATGAAGGGGAATACCCCTTCGGACTAGTTCTTTTATTTGAGGGTTTTGTTTCTTCCAGTTATTTTCCCAGTCGTTGACGATGTGGCCCCAGGTAACCCATAAATCCTCTTCACCTCCATCTTCGGTACGTTCCTGGTTCGAACTCGTACCTGTAACAAGGAAAAACTTTGATTTAAAAAATGTCAATGTTCCTCTTTTTGAAATTCATTAGTTCGGACTTCCGTTGTCTAATATTATATAAAATGATTTGAAATACCTGGAAGAACCAATAAAAAAGAAAAATTAAAAAGGAATAGCTGAAAATAACAATTATATTAAGCAAAAAAATACCTGAAATGAAATTACAGTGAAATAAAATACAAGTAAAAATAGAACAATTAAACAAAAATGAAAAAATAAATAAAAAATTAAGATGTTCCAAGCCAAGTTGTTACTTCACAACGTTTCGTTGTGTATCCACAGTATTTTATTTTTTTATTTTTACTTGTATTTTATTCAACTGTAATTTCATTTCCTTTTTTTTTTGGCTTGATATAATTGTTATTTTCAGCTATTATTTTTTATTGGTTCTTTCAGGGATTTCAAATCATTTTATATAATATTAGACAATGCAAGTCCGAACTGATAAAATTCATCATGAAACATTGTCAATCACCTTCAAACAAATCCCAGTTTACGGTCGTCATAATCGTCCTACTTTTCGCAATGTGGTGGATAAATATGAGTCCACTGGTTCAGTAAACGATCTGTGAGAGTGTGCAGGACTTTCACAGACCACAACTTGGCGAATTTTGCGTCGTGATTTGGGCCTGCAACCGTACAAAATTCCACTGACCCAGGAAATGAAGGTAAACGACCATAGACAACGACGTGTGTTCGCTGAATGGGCTCTGAGCAGTTGGCATCTACATAAAATTACAGACATACCCACAAAGAAATGTAAACCAAAGACTAGGATTTTTATATGGATTTCGGAAATACTGATATACTCATTGAAAAACGGATAGGCATAGTGGAAGTAACCTGTATTGTGAATAGTTAAAGCTGTCGGCGAGCTCAAAAGCCAAAAAAACCAATACAGAGAAATAAAGCCGCTGCCAACTAGTCCACGTGGACTGAAGAAATGGCGGTTCGTATTGGATAGCTTCTACTAACCGAGTTTTATGATTTGAGATCATGTTACGGTGACGAATAGAACGCGAGGATGGTTATACCCGGCGTGTTGTCAATGTTTAGTTCAGGAACTGATCGCGATTTGAGTGTTGAAATTCGATAATGGTGCAGTTTAATTACTTAAAATTTTTGTTATCTGTTTAAAATGTGGTGTCGTTGGACAAGTACTAATAGTAATAATTAGTGTGATAACAACGCAGACTTTTTCCAGTGTAGTGACTCCAATAGTAGTGAACAATAGAAATTTCCTAAAAAATATTTTATATACCGACGAAGCCACTTTCACTACAAATGGAGTAGTGTCATCAAAGAATTGTCGCTATTGGGCAGCGGATAATCCTAACTGGGTAATAAACTGTAAAAGCCAGTATTCCCAACAAATCAACGTCTGGTGTGGGATATTGAACGAACGAATTATTGATCCTTTTTTTTGAGGAAAACATTAATGCGCAGAGGTTTCTCCAATTTTTAAACACAGAGTTTTGGGATGCTATTCACGAGCTGCCAATCAATGGACGATCAAATTCAATTATTCAGTTAGAGGGGTGTTCAATTCATTATGCCAGAGCTGTGAGGCAATGGCTTAACGAACATTTTTCAAACCGATGGATAGGCCGTGGTAGTCCGTTTATAGAGTGGCCACCCAGATCTCCAGACCTCACAGTTTTGGACTTTTTTCTCTGGGGTATAATCAGAAATTATTATTGAATGACAAAATTAGTTAGCTCCCTAACTATATTATTGAAGGGGAGCTGTTGAAAGGTAGGTTGCTTACCTTTGCATAAAATGGTAACCAAAAATGTAACTCGTTTCACAATGAGCGAAAAACGAAAAACCAGATTCATTATCTAGAGTTTATAAAACACAATTTCTCGCACAATTCTTTAAAACGTAACACTCAACTTATAAGGGTCATAATCCAAAACAAAAACAACGTTTATTCCCACTACACATCGATACAAAATATAATACACATCTGCATAGAAATAGCTATATTCGTATCTATTGAAAGCCGAACAACAAAAAAATTAACGATACGTTCAATTACATACTTCAAATGGAAGCGTTTATAATAATAATAGTTTTTACTTCAAAAAGAAGTTGATCCTCAGCGAAGGAAAAGCTTTAAACATATCGACGTAAACATTGTCAAAGGAAAATTATCATCCAGATTTTCTAGAATTTCAGTTCCTGCAGAGCACAGGTATTGAATAAATTTGCCAGTTCTTGGAATGAAGTTTTTACAGAACAGGCAGATATGAACTTTCTGAAAGTGAAAATGAAATGTATTACAAATCTCTACACTTACAAGTTATTTCTTAGTTTAACCTTTCCGAAAACTTTCCACAGATGGAAAGATGAAAAATGAAATTTTACGACGCTTCGTATACCACGAAATGGAGTTTAGGTAACAATATAATGAAATTAACAAGTATATGATAAATAACAAATTTCATGTCACATGGTATGTGATAGAATATTCATCAACGTAAATACGAGGTGAATTTTAATTTTTTTTCAAAATACAGAACTCGATAAAACAGATGAAATGTTCAAAGTACGCCCCCTAATGAATAAAATTAATGAAAACTTTTTTTCAGTGGGGTTTATTTCATGACAAGCTCTCGATTGAGGAGGCTATGGTGAAGTATTTTAGACACCATTCGTCAAAGCAATTCATCAGGGGGAAACCAGTCCGCTTTGGTTTCAAAGATTGGAATATATGTTCATCTACAGGATACTGTTAATAAATTTGACACTTACTGTGGTGCAAAATCAACTTCTCCAATTGTGGTTGGTGTAAATTTGCCTCTGGGATCCAAAATTGTTTTAGAACTTGTTGAAGTCATTGAACAACCTGGAGACCATGTTATTTTTTTCGACAACTATTTCTAGAGTCATGGTTTGCTAACAACTCTGAGACAATTGGGATATAGGGCTACCGGAACTGTAAGAAGTAATCGAACAAAAAACTGCCCCTTACCTTGTGAAAAAACAATGAAGAAACAAAAGCGTGGTTACTATGATTATTGTTATGATAGCAGCAATTCGATATTATTCGTCAGATGGAAAGATAATAATATAGTAACGATGGGAACTACTTATGACAGCACTGAGCCTCTAGCTAAAGTAAAACGATGGTCTAAAGAAGAACAAGCAAAAATTGATGTGCCCCAACCAAGATTGTTTGCTAATTATAGTATATCCATTCCTAATTGGAACGGTAATAAAAATAAGAGCACTACGAGGGGTGTCCATAATCACTGCCCGGCAAATGGGAAATGTATCTAGTACCGGTGCTTTTATGTCCAAAGTGTCCCTGGTACAGTCATAAACATTTCTTGCCTGTGGTCCCTAGTCGCCCAGATAGTTAGTAAACGTGCTATCGAATGTAGATGAGGAATAAAGGCTCGGCTAGCTGGACTGGCTGAATACTAATTTTTTGTCCGTTTCACAATATTTCTTCATCAGTGCCGTGTGTTCGTGGGGTTAGGTGAGGTAGTGAGTGTTTTGCAAACTAATTTTTGAAAACTTTTCTAGAGATCAATTACCCTAACACCAAACTGATATTTTTGCACTCGACGCGCGTTTCGCTAACAAGGTTAGCATCTTCAGGAGAAGTAAATTGATACTGAATCTAAAGACAAGGGTCAGCTGTTTATATACCTAAAGTTTTTTGGTCCGATGTGGACTTTTTGTTAAATGATGATTATCCTAATTGATTTTTCGGTAATTAACTAGTGGAACCACTACTTACCTGCAAATAATTTGTCAACAATAGATTAAAAAGTACCAACCTTGGAAATTATTTGGTATAAATTACTCGACTATCCCGATTACAATTACAAATCTTTGGAAACTCTACGAGGTGACTTATTGTTTTGTGGTTTCAAATATAAAAAATTGAACTTTCGGATGGTCATAATGTAATCGACACGCATTGTTCAACTTCGACAAGAATATTTGAGGCGAATGAAAAGCTACCGAGAATCCAGCAGACATATAATCTACCTCGACGAAACTTGGTTTGACACCCATGATGTTGTCAAATGTGGCTGGGTAGACGAAACCAAGTATTGTGCTTTGAACACACCTTCTTCAAGGTGAAAACGTGTTGTAATTTTGCATGCCGGGAATGAAAGTGGTTTCTTACCTAACGCTTTGCTTCTGCCGGCCAAAAATATAAAAGATTCGTCTGCTGATTACCACGAAGATATGACTGCGGCTTTATTGGAAACCTGCATCAGTGAGCAGCTTCTCCCAAATATTCCCCCTAACTCGGTTAATGTTATGGATAACGCTTCTTATCATTCTCGGTTATTGACTACAATACCAAACAATAACACAAAAAAAGCAGATATTGTTGACTTCATGCGAAATCATGACATGAAAATACCCAAAGAGATTCCAACGAAAAAGGTATTTCTGGCGACCATAAAACAACGTAATTTAAAAAAAGAGTATATTATTGATTCGATGTGTGAAACACGTGGTCATATTCTTTTTCGTTTGCTTGCATACTATTGTGTGTTCAATCCAATTGAAATGGTTTGGGCCTCAATGAAAGAAAGCTTGCGGAAATGTAATCAGTCACCGACTTTGATTTCTCTACTGCTTGACAATATAAGGCGAGTGGTGAATGAAGTAGGTAATAGTGATGTGTGGAAGAACTTTGTGGCCCACGTTATAAAAGGAAGAGAACAAATATTATGTGCAAAGTTCCATAAATCCGATCGTTATTCAACCCGATGATGATTCCACCTCATCCGAATATAGCGAAGAAGAATTTTGATTTTTCTAGTAATTTTGTTGGCTTCTATGTAATGTAATCTTTATTATTATAGGATACATCCTAATCTTACAAGACATAATAACTAATTAATAATTTAAATTTCCACAGTGCCAAAAATATTAATAAAATTCAAATATGTATATAGATAATAACAATAATGAAGATAAACTAAATAAGAAGATAATAATAAAAAATATACAATTTATAATACCCAATGTTGAAAACCAATATTGATATAGTAACTATATATAATATACATATTTTCCAACTAACTAACGCTCTAGGTATTCCAATAATTTACTTTTAAACCCTCTTACAGTATTTTCCTCTTTAATGGCATTTGGTAAATTGTTAAATTCCCGTAGTCCCTTGTAGAATAAGTTTTTAGTTCCGCCACCAGTGTTGGTTCTATATATATGAAAATTATTATAAGATCTTGTCTCATGTTCATGTATTTGATTATTAAAAACCAAAAATTCATTAAAATATATTGGTTGGAGACTTCTGGTTATTTTAAATATAAAAACCATTGTTAAAAAGAATAATCGATTTGAAATCGACAGCCATTGTAGTATATTTAACATGTGATCAATGGAAGTATAACGACTGCATCTTAATATAATTCTCATGCTCCTATTTTGGAGTTTTTGAAATTGGGAAAGCCTATTTTGGTTTATTAAATGCATTAAAGTTGGACAGTACTCAAAATGAGGTTTAATTATACAATTATATGTTAATATTCTGGAGTTAATAGTCAAATTATTTGCTATCCTAGAAAAAAAATATAATTTTTTTGAAATTTTTTTTATAACGTATTCAGCATGACTGTTCAAACTCAAAGTGTTATCTACAATAACTCCCAGATACTTTATTTCAGACACATATTCCAAGGTAGTGTTACCAATTTCAATTTTTATTTCATTATAATCAATAGAGTTCAGTTTATATTTAGTTGTTATCACCATAGCTTTTGTTTTATCTGCATTTAATTTTAATTTATTCATATGTAAATATTTTTCGATGTTCTTCATAGAACCTTTGAGAGTATCTACAGCATCATTGAGTTCTGTATTCTGCAAACAGATTAAGTTCATGTAGCCCAGGAACATAATAAATATCATTTAGGTATATAATAAATAAAAGTGGACCAAGTACACTTCCCTGGGGAACACCAATGTTGATATCTATCTCATCAGATATTTTTGAACCAATTTTTGTTTTCTGTTTTCTATTATTTTGTATATATATGTTTGACGAGAATCCGGTGTGATTATTTGTGTTTTCATTGTATTTTAGAGTTTTCCATTCGGAAATCAACTACCTTAAATTTCGAAGTTTTTTATAATTACCCATGGTGGAAAAATTCTGTTGAGATAACTTTTTCACGGGGTGATCAACTGCTACGATCGTAAGAATAAGTAACTGAAAACTACCACTGAAAAATAATATGCCGACGCCTATGTCGAGGCGGGAATTCCTTCTCTGTGCTGTTCCAATTGGTATTGGAAATACTATACAATTCTGGGATAGGAGGTGTTGACCTTTCAGACCAGGGAGTCAGCAATTATAGAGTATAGGTACAAAAAAACTTGATCTGCTAGATTTCACACAGTCCATCAGAATGGTGAATGATGGGACAGGACACTACCCAGGAAAATTAGAGAAACAATTGAGATGCAACCAGTGCCACTTACGTGCAAGATGGAGCTGCCAAAAATGTAACATAACATTGTTTAGAAAGAAACTGTTTTATACAATTTCACACTGGTAATGTTAGTAGCGAATAAAAATATTTCATAGATAACATTTTACCACACTTGTTTCCATTGTACTCGTTTGAGTACACGTATTTTTCTCTTGGATTTGTCAAAAAAAAATTGTTTTCTTCAGAATACTTTTTAAGTTACATAAATCTAACAATAAAACTAGAAAAAATTGTTGTTTTAAAGAAAAAGAACTGATATTTTTCACACAAATGGGTTAATCGATTTCTATTTTGTCCCCTTCAAAGTAGTCCCCTTCATATGTAATACACTCGTGCTGGCTTTCTCCCAATCCTCGAAACAGTTTTCATATGCACTTTTTGGTATGTCCTCTCTCAGAGAGTCAGTTGTCATGTCCTCGATCGTCGCAAAACGCCGTCCTTTCATGAGTATCTTCGAACTTGGGAACAAGATAATGTCGCAGGGGGCCAAATCATGTGAATACGGTGGCTGAGGCATGATTATGGTGTTGTTTTTGGCCAAATGCTGGCGTATTTTTTTTGTCTTGGCTCTTCTGGGCTCCTTCATTGGGACGATTGGACTTTGGTTTTCGATGTCATGACCATATAACCATGATTCACCATGGGTGACCCCCGTTGACGTCATTCAACAATTTCTGAGCGAAGCTCATGCGACAGTTTTTTGGTCAAAATTCGGCAATTTTGGAACGACCTTCGCTGCTACCACTTTATGCCTAAAATTTACGAAAAACTTGCATGGCATTAGCCAACTGATATGCCGACATCCTCAGCAACTTCTCTGATAGTGATTCAACGATTCTTCATAACAATTTTCCTCACTTTCTCAACATTTTCATCGATTGTTGATGTAATGGGGCGAGCGTTGCCATTCATATCCCGTCGACCTCTTGTGAAAAGCTGGTACCACTTGTTAACATTTTTTTGACTCGGAGTACAATCACCGTATGCCACTGTCAAAAATTTGATGCAAATTCTTCGAATAGTTTTTTTCGATAACAGAAAATCGCTGAATATGCAAAACACTTCTAACTTTTATGCCTCTCACTAATAAACTAAACAGCCGAAACTTTGAACATATGTTCGAGACGAGTGTACCAACAGAAAGAAATAAAAAAACGCTAATCGAAAGCGAAATTTGAACAGTTTTATAGGTACATATATACTAACCATATGATCTTGAGTAACATTCAATGCTATTTTTTTGAGAATGGGGTTAAATTCTTTCCCTCATATCAGAATCATACAGTTTTGAAATCCTTGGTATAATGTGTGAAAAATTCATTTGATATCACTAGACACTTCCAATTAGTTAACGAAAGTGCGCTAAAAATAATAATATTTACAATAAACGTATTTGTAAATATAAACAATTTTCAGTTGTTATGCTAATTTCAATAACTTATCGCCAATTGGTGATAATATATGCCACCTTGATAAAAAGCATATTCTTGGCCGAGACATGGCGAATGAAACAATATTTTATAAAGTTAGACGTAATATAAATGAAGGATTTAAAGAGGGCAGTCGAATAAAAAAGTGTTAAAAAATAATATAGAACAAAATTCTTGATGTGTTGATATATACTTCTGTAACCAATAATACATACACTTCACACTCGCTGACATATTTACAAATATAATGAACTAATAGATTGATTTGATAATTTGCCATTCAGAATGGAGATTGCTAGGCTAGAAAGCCCTGGAATATCAACCACGGGAAACTTGAGCTAGAGTACTTTTTCTCACGGTCGTTTTGCTAGCCAAGCTAGTATCATCAGTTTGATCTTCCTCTTGAAGATGCTCACTTGGTGGTCGAAACACGTGTCGGGTGTTAAAATAACAGTTTGGTTTTGCGAGAAAACTCTAGCTATAACCATCAGATGACTGTAAGAAGTTCTTCGAAACAAAATTACAGCATTAATATTCATCCGAATTAATTATTGTGTTGATTTGTTATTGTATCTAATAGTTACATTAAATACCTAATCAATATGATTCTGCAAGTCCCTCAGATTTTACTTCTCATTATTATGTAAATACGAAACTAAAAAATGAAAAATAAATGAATTGAAGGGGTTATATTTTTTAGGAGTGATTAATTTTTGGGAAAGAAAGTTTTTGGCTTTCTACTACTCCATCTTGATACAAAAAAGAAGGATGAGGGAGTCTTCCAAAGAAAGGAAGAAAGTAACTCTATACAAAAATTAATCACTCCTAAAAAATATAACCCCTTCAATTCAAATAAGATTCCTCTTGGCTGGGATTAAATCAAATAGGTTAATATATTTAAAAAACATATTTTTAACTTTTTAGTTCGATGTTCTTTAAAAGCGTGTGTTTCATTAGTATTTTAAACTATATTTATTTTTCATTTTTTAAGTTTCGTATGTTATAAAAGCGTGTTTTTTAGTTTTTTAAAACTATATTTATTTTATCTAAACTTTGGAATCAATCAGCCGTATATTGTTTAGGAAAATGACCATTGATAAGTGAAGTGAGTTCGAATTATATCATGGAGACAAACAAACAAACATACATACATGAGAAGCTAATAAAAGCGTGATAAATAAAAAAGACGGATTTATTACGTCCGCACTGTATTATAATAATTTGCGCATTTATTAAAAACAAATTATCATTCAACGATTCTGTAAATTACGTAATTTGCAATCACCTACAAAATAATAACTCACCGGAAGTAAGCGATATCTGCGACGTGTCCGAGCTCTTCCGAGAGTGCCCCGAAGTGGCCGAGGCACCGCTCAACGAGTTGAGCGACTTGGCGTCCGACTCGAATAGCCGATTCGCCTCCTCCAGCTTGGCGAGTAGCTCCAGCTCGGATCCCGATGCTTTATTGTCAACGTTGTTGTTGTTGTTGTTCTCGACGATCACGTTGGCGGCGGGCGGAGGACTGTCCTGGAGCCTCATGGCAACGGGCGACATCGCCGAGTAGAAGCCCCCATCGGACTCGACCACAAGGCAACTCAACGAGCCTCCTCTGAAAAAAATGATATAGGCATATATTTTTTGAAAAAGAAACGGATATGAATTCAATATAATATGTGTCACTACTTGCTACGCGCCTTATCCTCACACTGAATCACAGTATTGCAAAAATTTTTGGATATCATACATATTGTTTACTTATTTATCTGAACAGGTGAATTCAGCAAGCTTTTATATCATATCTGTATTTATATCTATATACTAATATAAAGTTTGTGAGGATGCATGCATGTATGTATTGTTGTAAATCATGCCCTAAAGAAAATAACACCGGCCGCCGCTGGTAGCCATAAACCAATTGTGACGTAGCTAAGAGCGCGCGAATGTTCGATGTTCGCTGCATTTTTAGATGTAACGAGAATAATGCTACCGTCTTCGATGGAATTCCGAGGAATGTTCCAGGGCCTTCGATTGCCAAATATAAGCGCCATCCACTCGCTCATCGGGACAGTCAAGTGAAAGTTACAGTGCGGTACGCGAAGATATCTCATAAGGCGATAAACATTCGAATAATAGTTGAAGTTTTAGTTGAAGTGTTTGTTGTATTCCCCCACGGGGAAAAACGTAACAGAATGTTTGTGGTTCTTTCACGTCTAAACGACTGAACGGATTTAGATGAAACTTCACTTAAATACAGTTTATACATCAGAATAACATATAGGCTACAATTTACAAAGGTTTTGTGTAATTTGGGTCATAATTGAGGAAATCGGAAAAATTCTTGCTCCCTGACAGCTATCTTGGCGTGCGCTGCATATACCGCTGGAGTTACATGCAGATAATGTACCGTAAGATTGTTTATCTTGAATAGCGGACAAAAGTCCGCGATAGCATATATCTACCTCTTTTGTAGTAGTAACTATATGCAAAATATTGAGGCATAAATACAATCAACTTGGGTACTTTTTTACAATGCACATTTTAGAATATCAGTCAAATTCTTATAAAAATTGATACAACTGTCGTTTTAATTATTTAATATAGATAAACCTTGTCTTCTACACTAAGTTTGGACGAATCGTTTAAAAGTTATCACTATAAGATTAACTTGACACAAGGCAGTAAAGACATTACACGTCGCGTCTTCTATATAACGACGTGGGACACATGCGCGGGGGTAGAGGGGCGGTCTAAGCAATGCAGCGCCATCGTCCAGAACGCGACCCGAACGCGGGCAGAAGTGTGAGGGCAGACGTCGTTGACGATTGTGTTAGATTTGCGAATTTTTTTATAGGTAGGTAACATAATTCGATTCTCGAAGCTATTCATTACTAAATGCAGTTGGCATATTTTTTCAGTTACTGTATTTTCAAAGTAAAAATATAAATTAGTTTTGCACTTGGAAACCTGAAGTTTTGGGTTAATTTGTTTAAAATGGTCTGTCACGAAACTTAATGTGAAAAACGAAATTCTACGTAAGCGAAGCCGCGGGCAAGAACTAGTAAATCATATAAATTGATGTGTTTGAATTGAATAAAAACATATTTCCTTCTTTTTGGAGCTTGTTTGTAGAAGTTTGTTTTGAAAATGTTTTTACTATTATTTTATTTCTTTTTTTCAGTTACCGCTGTATTTTGATGTTAAAAAATGTAGTATTTTGTCTATTACAAGATTAAAAGAACCTGTTATGTTCGAGTACAGAATTAATGAAGAGGCCCTAATTCGGTGTTCTGAGGTAAAGGATCTGGGAATTACTTATGACCATCTACTGTCCATTTCTACACATATTATAAATATAGCTAAGTCTGCAAACCGATTGCTAGGTTATTCAATTAGACAATCATTTAATTTTACCAATGTACATTCCCTTTAAATTTTATATTATAGCTTAGTAAGGCCAAAACTAGAATTAGGTGCAATAATTTGGCATGGAGAATACCAGACATTATTCTTGCTAGAAAAAATTCAAAACAAATTTTTAAGATACCTATATTATAAAAAGCATCATGTATATCCCGATTATAATGTAGTTAGAACAACCCATCTTAGACATGAATTCAAAATTCTATCTTTGGAAGATCGAAGGATGCTTAACATTTTGATGTTTTTGTTTAAAATTATTAATAATAAAACTAACTCACCAACGTTACTTTCTTTACTGCGATTTAATGTGCCTCCAAAGAGAATGCGCTCTTCTGTAACATTCAATATCTCTGTTTTACACAGAACTACTAGAGCTCCTCTTACAACCATGTATCGACTAGCAAATGATTATAACAGACTCTTTTATCTGGATTGGTCAATAACTCTAAATATGATTAGAAACATTATAATCAAACAAATCATTGATTTATCATCATAATGCTAACTGATTATAACTACTACTAAAATAAATTTTCTTATTTGTTAAATTAAAACTAATACTGTAAAAATCATAGTGTTAAGTTCACTTTTACTTTTATTTTTACTTTTGGCTTTATTTTTCTTTTTTATCGCTTGTAAATTACTATAAATTATTTGCAATATTACATACAGGGCTATTCAAATTCGTTTCTGTACATGGGGATCTCGGAAACGATAAGAGATATAGAGTGTCGGTTAAATCGTGGCAAAGTTGTGTATTTCAGAGACCTATTCAATCACGTAAAAAATCAAATATAGCTCTTTTGGTTCTGGAGATATACATGAAAAACAAAAAATCCTAAATTATGTTTTTGCCCGTATCCTTTTTATTCGCAGACATATTGTAAATCTATCCACATTTTGCTATTGGCACTTGACGTGGGCTATCAGAATGTGTCCATGAATCTTTTATACAGGCTGTCATCTGACTTGGGCCACCCCATCTTTGAATTTTTAAATACGGACCTGTATTTTTTGTTGTAATTTTTGGATCGTCGAAGTTCACTTCATATTAAGAAATTAAATTTAATTTTATATTTCGGGATGTTTCGGAAATATTTTATTATAATTGGGTGAATTATTCCCATTTAAATTAGGGCCCTGGAAATTGGTTGAATGAGTTAAATGAAAACAAAATACCAACTTTCACGTCTCCCTATGTACCGTAGAATTTTTTTTAATTTTTAGGTACCTACCTATTCATATTTTTTACTGTCAGGTGTAGTTTTTGAAATCAGTAAACATATACGGGGCTATTCAAATTCGTTTCTGTACCATGGGGATCTCGTAAACGATTAAATTGTGGCAAAGTTGCGTATTCTAGAGACCTATTCAATGATGTAAAAAAATCGAATATAGCTCTTTTGGTTCTGGAGATATACAGGAAAAACCAAAAAATCTCAAATTATAATTTTGTCTATATCTTCCTTATTCGCAGACTTATTGAAAATCTGTCTACATTTTGCTATTGGCACTTGATGCCATCAGAATATGTCCATGAATCTTTTATACAGGGTGTCATCTGACTTGGGCCACCCCCATCTTTGAATTTTCAAATACGGACCTGTATTTTTTTTGTAGTTTTTGTTTATTCGACGTTCACTTCATACTGAGAAATTAAATTCAATTTCATGTTCCGGTAATATTTGATTATAATTGTGTGAATTATTCCTTTTTAAATTACGGCCCTAGAAATTGGTTGACTGAGTTGAATAAAAACACAATAGCAACTTTCACGTCTCCCTATGTACCGTAGAATTTTTTTTAATTTTTAGGTACCTACCTATTCATATTTTTTACATTTCCATTGCTCTGAGCGTTTTCTACAATGAACTTCGAATTAGAAAACCTTTTATGATTATCTGATTATCTAAAATAAATATATTATATGTGTTTTGATAGACAGAAAAAAATGATAGCAATAATAACATCTGAAACGACTATGAAAATTGAAATGAAGTAATTCATATCCACAAAAAAATTAATGCGCAATAAATGTTCGAATTGGTGTGCTTCCATTTCTAGACATTTCTGAATTCGTTTTTCATATCATTTATTACCCTTAATATACTCCTTTGCTGTATTGTTGCGGAAGCATTCAAAATTCTATTTCTCAACACATATAATCTAATTATTGTAGATATGTCAATTTCCAGGGCCGTAATTTAAAAGGGAATAATTCACCCAATTATAATAAAATATTACCGAAACATCCAGAAATATAAAATTGAATTAAATTTCCTAGTATGAAGTGAACGTCGACGATCCAAAAATTACAACAAAAAATACAGGTCCGTATTTAAAAATTCATGGGATGGGATTTTTTGGTTTTTCCTGTATATCTCCAGAACCGAAAGAGCTATATTCGATGTTTTTACATCATTGAATAGGTCTCTAAAATACGTAACTTTGCCACACTTTAACCTACACTCTATCCCTTATCGTTTACGACATGTACAGTACCCCATGTACAGAAACGATTTGAATAGCCCTGTATATATGTATATTTATCCATTCAATTAGACCAGTAGGTCCGTTTGGATACAAATGAATAAATAAACTTCCTTTGCCTCTTCAAATAGATGCGTCACTGTTGTAGGGTTGGTCCCTACAAAATTAGTTCGACCACCGAACCTTTGTAGAACTGAATCTTTTTAAATCGGTAAGACAGCCATTTTGCTTTCCAGCATTTTGAATTTGTTTTCACTTGATCCTTTTCATTTGTTATCCATATCATGAAACGTTGGCAAGAAAACAATTATTTATTTGAGAAAAAATGATCCTGTTACCCAACTAATTCTTCTTGAATGAAACATTTAAGATTTCAGAGGTCAATTTCGCAGGTTCAGAAGACGATCGTTTATTTCATTTCCGGGAGACAACTGATTGTTAATTAGCTTTATATTCTGAATCTGCAGTCTAATGATTTCAGGGGCATTAGAAGTAATCTGGATTTCTAGGATTACTTTTTCTACCTTTTTCAGGGCCTGACAGCATAAGCTAGTTACATTAGTAAAATTGAGACAGAATAGATGTTCCCGTTTCTCCATAGAAATTAAGAGAAATGTTTGTTTCTTAAACCTACGACATTCGAATCTTGGAAGCAAGTTAAAATCCACCATATCAAAGGGTCATATTCTATCAAATGGT